ACCTTCTTGTACTACTGGGTCTACAGGGTCTCCTTAGTCTTCTCTGTCTACAGGGTTTCTGTTATCCAACGAGCCATGAACTGGACTATTGTTAATATTGTATAATTTCTATATTAGATAATATTATGTGGTTAAGAAGTAAATCCATTTATCATTAATTTATTATTGCATTATATTCTCCTGAAAGTCTTGGGATTCTTCCACCAAAGGCATTTCTATGGAAGGCTGGTGGGTCCAGAGTTATGGGATATGCCTTAGAACCAAAGGAGACAAACAAATCCAGACCAAACTGACTGCAATCTTAGGGTCCTCCTGCTCCAACCACGGTCAGTGACACTTGTTTGGAGATGTTGCCACAAGATGACACCCATGTTAATGAAAAAAAACTTCTCTTCCTCGTCCTCATTCTCTGAAAGTCATGCAAAGGACTTTCAGAGAATGAGGAGGAGGAATGACATCAGAGGGATGAAAGAAGAGGGAAGATCCTTGGATCAGACATAGCTTTAATTAAGGAATGACAGAACTTACTGTGCTGTTGAGTTCCCTCAGAGCGTCCAGTTCCTTCAGCAAGAGTGAGATGTTTGGGCTCTGATGTGGGCTGGATGCAGGAATCTGAGGGGAGCTGTTCAAAACAAAACAGTTCATTTAATCCACGGAAACAGCACTGTGGACTTTATGAATAAGAGCCTAAAAATGTAGACAAACAACAGCAAAAAAAACAGCCCTTATAAAGTAGAACAGAATTAAACGAAAAACAAATATTCAAATATGAGGAGTTAAACAAATGGTATAAAGTGCATCATGTACATCTGGTTGAAAATTGTTGCTCCTACAAAAACTGAGCGAACGGTGTCAAAGGCAGAAGCAGAATTTGGCGCTGTCCTGGGTGCTGAAGGGGGAGCATGAAGGCAGCGTGTTCCATCAGTCTCAGAGTGGAATCAATGAAGCTGTGGTAGAACCATAAATGGTTCTTCCATCTTTTATGGTGAGTTTCTGCTCAAACAGCTTAAAACAAAGAAACTTGTGGTTTGATAAGATTTTAGAATTATTTATGCTTCAATGATGATCATCTGTGGATCATTGGATTATTTTGAATGATAATTTTAATTGGTTAGCTAAAATGAGGCTTCAGTGTTTGAAACAAATCCCATCCAACTTTTATTTTCATTAGTTTCATTTATTTCAGGTCAGAAAACATCAAAACACTTTAAAGGATTAACCACCTTATCACTCCTCTATCCTTTTAAACAATGGCAAACATGATGACGTCCAAATTTTAGCCCTCTTTTGGTTAAAGTGTAACCACTTTAAAACTAATCAATAAAAAAGCAGCATCTGGAATAAACATCATTTATCATTTCCAAATATGGAAGGACTGAATGAATTAAATGGGACGGCATGGCTTCACCTATTGTGTTCTCTAGTTTATGACAGAGAAATGCCTTTTTGGACCCTTATGGCTGAATAAATTGTTGCGGAGGACCGGATTCAGCCCACAGGCCTTGAGTTTGACAAAGGCTCTAGAAGCTCCTGAAACAAAACAACAAAAAAATCTGATTCAGAACAAAAGAAGCTGAAAAAAAGCCTCCAGGAATCCTGGAAGTCCAGTCCCTTTTTCTAAATTCTTCAATTATTGTTTTCAAATAACGTAGTATTTCCTCTCTAATGCAACTCTAGCAGGGATTCCCAAAGTGAGATGGTTTTCACAATCATTGCAATGTGATCCCGGAGTTAAAAAAAATCTAGCAAAAATGCTGGTTGGATAGGTTATGGGTCAGTTTTGTATAAGTTATGAGTTCAAAGAAACACGCTGAGGCACGCTAAAACACCCAGAGTTACGCCGAAACATCCCGAGGTTCAAAGAAACACGCTGAGGCACGCTAAAACACCCCGAGGCATGCCGAAACCCCCGAGGCACGCCAAAACACCCCGAGGTTCAAAGAAACACGCTGAGGCACGCAAAAATACCCCGAGGCACGCCGAAACACCCTGAGGCACGCCGAAACACCCCGAGGTTCAAAAAAACACGCTGAGGCATGCTGAAACACCCCGAGGTTCAAAGAAACACGCTGAGGCACGCAAAAATACCCCGAGGCACGCCGAAATACCCTGAGGCACGCCGAAACAACCCGAGTCACGCCAAAACAACCTGAGGCACGCCGAAACACCCCGAGGCACGCCGAAACAACCCGAGGCACGCCGAAACACCCCGAGGCACGCCACAACAACCAGAGGCACGCCGCTACAACCAGAGGCACGCCGCTACAACCAGAGGCATGCCAAAACACCCCGAGGCACGCCGAAACA